TTAGGGAGATGTTCTTCTTCTGAACTTTTGGGAGTTCATATATTCCTAGTATAGTGGAACATGATGGTCTAAGACGTTCATAGAGGTCACAATTAATATTAAAGTCATCTTCCATCTGCCTCATGATTTTGGTTACCATCTGTTCCGTATTCTCAATCGCATCTTAGAGAATTTGACAGCATCAGATACTATCAAGGATAGTTTGGTGACATAGTGCTGAACATCCATAAGGACAATTCGTGCAACCTTATCTAGGTAACACTGCACTAAATCCTGATTTTTCAGAGAATGAAATAATTGAGACTTATGTTCTTTAGTGAGTAGTTGTCTAGTTATAGGTATCGTGACTACATATTGAGTTCATTAACGATAGTTGACGTACTACAAAATTGAGGACCAAGTAATAATGCATGTAACTGAATAGTCGACAATGTTATACACAACTTCATTTGATATTTCGAATCTTGAATCACTTTATGATGCAATCCTTTCTATCTTTCTATAGACATATATTTACCATATAACTATAAATACGAATGTGTAGTTTGAGTAAATGATTGAGTGGAAAAGAAATTTCATTTTGCTGAATCCTTTTTATATGTGAGTTCTTTCAAACTTATTGAAGCCTACTCCTGATTCACTGGGTGTGACTGTTTATAACTGTATTGAATGAGGTATTATTTAGTGTTATTCTGGTTTCGTATTCTGCGTCGTGAATCCTGGTTCTGATGTAGCGTGGCTAGTTATATTATTGTAGTAAACATGAGAGAGAAAAGAATATTTTAAATAATCCGTTATATCAGAAAGTTGGATGGTGACGAGCGGTGCAATCGTGGACGAGTCTCAAATAGGACTGCAAACCATCATCCACCCCTGTTAATAATGCCTGTGACGTAAGGTAATATCGAAGCAATCCCCACAGGATGTACGCATGTCAATAAGAGACTAAAAAATGGCTGTTCTAAGCAACAGTGGAAAGATTTAAACAAACAATACAAATCGGAGTAGACGTCTCTTGCAGAAATCATTTTATAACATAATATAATCACTTCTATTCATTATAATCAAACATTTCTATCTTAACTCACTAACCAATTACTACTTATTTCCATAAGGTATATTACAACGTTTTAGCGATCATTTTGTACTTGATCAACATAATGAATAAACTAAAGTTACCAGTCTCGTCTTCAATGTTCGATAAATGCTCAATTTTCATGCACATTCAGGTGTGAGTGAGTACTCCATACAACATTAAAACTATCACTAGTTTTTATCTCAAACTTTTGGAGTTGTCTGCAGCTATCTGCTATGAATATGCTAGTGTTGTGCATTACGACATACCGGATGGAAAACACAAACTCGTTGAAATCTAATGGTTGAAATAAAATTTCGATCAAAATTACATTCCCTACATAGCACTCCACTCAGTAAATGAACTAAAACGTACTAGAAAATGTTGTATACATCATAGTTATTGAACACTAAATACATTAATGATAACCTCCACTCATTCGATCTGTTAACCGAACATGGCAAACGTTCAGTCAACTGAATCGTGAATTTTTCATGATCCATAAATGGTTTGTAATCTTTGTTGCGCAATATCACTGAAGTATTCTAAGGGCACTTCATCATTTGATTTCATTGTTCAACCGCATTTCTACATAAAAATAATATTTCTTCTACCAGTTTCTGCGTCATAGTCAAACATTTTCGATTTCAAATTTCGATTTTGAAAGTGAAATATCACTCTGGAATACCTTTCTAAAACAAAAGTTGTATTTGTGAAGGTATTACAGGAGACAGATAAAACACCTCACTTTCATGTTTTATATCCGTTTACCATTAATTGCTGTATATAGTTCCAACTCGAGGGAAATCTATTTAACCACTGCAGTCACTTCAAAATTTAAGTTTCTACTGTGGAATATTTGCAGTATTTCTCGTCAAATATTCAAACTCATTTAAATCCATCGAAACATCACTTCATTTACCTAACCGAGAGCAAGAGATCGATCTAATATCAGCATTCACTGTCATTTACTGTACTAATCAAAACTTCCAAAGTTTGTACAATTCCGTTCATCAAGCATAGGGGAGGTAAATTACATTAGTTTGCTTTGCCTACGTTAGTCATCATTTGGAATCGTCTCATATCACAAAACGAAACATGAATTTCAAACATCTATCAACTCTTGCTCTGAAACAACACTTAAGCATATTATTTTCTCGTTTCAGGCAGGACGTTTATATTTTGGTGCAAAGTATGAAGTCATCTTTAGTCTGAAATTTAATCCATCTCGTAGTACAACCATTGTGAAATATCCAGTTCTAGTCGAAATCGTATGCAAACCCTATGAACGTGGCAGTCCTGTAGTGAATAGCTGCGCAAAACAAAGGTTTTACAAGTTCAAATCTCATCTACGTGTTCAACTTGACTACACTTGTGAGTTTTATCGGTGTGTATTTTTCCAAATTCATGTTATGATTATAAATCAACACTACCTACCAAGGAATGACTGCATTATGGGAAATACGTTTACCCTGTATGTCGGATACGTTATCTTAAATGGAAAATGCTCATCGTTAAAATTTCCGCTGTTGTGAAAAAGATTTCAATCTTTGCATTGCATCCGATTATCATACTGTCATCAAGTATTCACACATACAAATACAACTTCACAACCCATCATAATTTACTGAATTTTTCTCATGCTACTGAAATCACAATTATTCTCATAATTTGAGGTGCTTGTTAATTGCTTTCAGAGAAAAGATGAGTTAGTCCTCATATAGATTTATCAATTATTTGGAGGCTTTCCATAATGATATTTCATTTGATCATACAAAACTGCTAGTAATGTACAATCGCAAACAAAAGATGAAAAGAAAAACACTGATCTTCTTGTTGAGAAGTATCAACTAAATATGTTTGCACTGTAACTATATGCAGTTCTCTTACACTCCCCTATTAAAATGACCTCGAATTTTGTCAATCATAACCATGAGGAATGTTTGTCATTGGTTACTTATCTACAGTCACATCACATTACTGTGAAAGAATTCTCTATCATTTTATTGATTTTTGGGATAGTTAAAATAATTCTCAGTGACTCTGTGATGCGTTATTTAACAGCACTGCCTTGTATTGACCTTTTGCATTCAGATCCTCCCAACTTACCTCATTACGTTGCAATGCAGAACCCTTTGGTACAGTTGCCCGACCGTCAAGCAAATACATTTCTAAATGTTGGTGATCTTTTGTTTTATTGTGCACGTGCGTTTAGTATGAAGGGTTCATTAGATTTGGTGAGACGATGTTTCAAGATTGGTAAATTGCCTGAAAGAATTTGGTTTGGTAAGTAATCATAGACAATCTGTTGTGTTTTATTATTCAACAGTGGATATTTGAAGTTTAAAACTACATACTTACGTCTGTTACACTTAGTGTAGGAGCATAGGCCACCCATCAGCATTCTCCATCCAACTCTGTCCTGGACAACCCTTCCCAGCACTATCTAATTCCTATTCATTCTCTTCATGTCTGCTTCGAATTCGCGACGTAGTGTGTTATTCCACCTTCCTCTTTTCCGCTTGCTTTCAGGATTCCCAGTTGGCACTTGCCTTGTGACGCAGTCTGATGATTTCCTCAACGACTGTACTATCCACTTCCATCGTCTTTTCATAATTTCTTGTTCAATTGGAAATTGGTTTGATCTCTCCCACAGTAAGTTGTTCCTGATGGTATCCAGCCAACAGACATTGAGTATCTTTCGTAGACAACTGTTTATAAATACTTGCACTCTCTTTATGATGGTTGTAGTATTCCTACACGTTTCAGCTCCGTACAATAGAACTAACTGTATTGACATTTGTATAGAAGATTATGTCTTTGATATTGGTTGAGAGTTGTTTTGGGTTGCATATGTTCTTCAATTCAAGGAATGTTATCCTTGCTTTGCCAATCCTCACCTTTACATCTGCATCTGATACTCTTTGTTCATCGAAGACGCACCACAGGTACGTGAAAGTCTCCACCACATCCAGGCCTTCTATTCATCAAGTGTGATTGGGTTGGTGTTCTCTGTGTTGTACTTGAGGATCTCGGTTTTTCTCTTGAGTATGTTGAAGCCTACTAATGCACAGGCTACAGCAACACTGGCTGTTTTCATCTGCATTTGTTGATGTGTATGTGATAGAAGGGTTAGGTCATGTGCGAAGCATATCCATGCACCACTTTGCAGTATATTTCGTCGAATGACTTCCGTATGACATTGGCAATCTTCTCAGGTACACCATAGTGTCGCAGAAGTTTCCATAAAGTCCTTCTATCCACACTGTCACACGACTTCTCATAGTCAAGGAAGGTGATGTATGGTGACGAGTTCCATTCAATTGATCGTTCAACAATGATCCGAAGCGTAGCGATTTGGTTTGTGCACGACCAATCCTTATGGAATCCAGTCTGTTGATCTCGAAGTTGGGCGTCTACTGAGTCTCTCATCCGTCCCAGCAATACACTGGTGAAAAAGTTTGTTTACCCGGATCTCAAAGTTAATTGGAGGTTTTTAAAGTTATCGTTTATGTTAGTTTAAAACAATTCCTTTCTCAATTTTATAAAACTACAGAAATCCCAATAACAAGTAAACATATGTTTAAATCAATACTGAATATTCTCCCAATCCAAACCTATTTCGTTCAACTGTAGTGAACGAGAACACCAGTGGGCACAACCAAATGCATTACAATATAAAATTATAAAACATCCTAGTAAAATCTGAGAATCACAAAATAAATACTTCATTTGCCAAATTTCAATCAATCGTCTCATACTTGATTGTTTCTTCGTTTCCATACCAAACATTCGCTATTCTTGTTCTCTTTTATTCGATCTCAACTTCCTACCACCTGGCATTTCAATTTCGACTGATGACATATACTACTTACATCTGTCGACTTCAGCAGTCCACACCACACAACTAAGATTTAGATTAATCGACAAGTATGATGATTTCTTCGGAATAATCAACCTCTTGATAATCAAAGCTTATTACTTTGTAACGGGAGAGTGTCCACTACCACCCCTGTTCGATTCTACTTATTGCCCTATTTTTACTACATTCATGATGTGCTAACCTACCTTAGTTTGTTGACACCAGATTGTAAATCGATAGAATAACAATTATCAAAATTGATTATTCATGAACGCATCAACTTAACATCCGGCTCAGTTTACAAGACATAATATATAAAAACAAACATTATCATAATGAAGGAAAACAAATGTTTTACATTAAAGACCGACATCACAAGCTAATTATGGCAGAATTTGTACTTGGAAGGAGGATTCACAATTCATTCTCTTCATATTTTACTACTAATTATACACGACTACTTGAACTGATTTATAAGGTCATAAGAGAATTTTTTGTTCATGTAGCACAAATAAAGTATTTTAATAAGTCATAACTACAAACGTTTAGTATTTTGAAACATCCATTGTACAGATTCATAAAATACATAGTTGCTAAGAATTTAGGTTCATCGAAAATTTTGTTTAGGCTTATTTTGGCAAAACAATGTTAGATATGTTTCGACTGATTTCTTTTCGATTCTCAGATGTCGGACCATATGTTGAACAGATTATAGCGTACACAAATCCACTTGGCATATTGTTCGGTTTGGGAGCAAATGGTGGAGGTGTAATAATGAGTAAGGATTTGGGGAAAACATGGATTTCAATCAACTCATTCATGTACCAAAGAACTTTGAATACGTCGACTGAAATCATTACAGCAAGTGTCATACCATGGATTTCATCAACTGGATCAATTGACAATACACCGTCTGAGTCATTTTGCAAGATGCGAGTGGCTAATCAATGGAATGGTAAGTAATGTATAGTAGTAACCAGATGCTCAAACGTGTTTTCTGTCATCCCACATGAAAGTGTGCATCAAAACCTAAGAGTTTTCAATATTTCTTCAAGGTTCAGAGTCATGACAATTCCAACCGAACACATATCTCTTGTGATATGCAGTAGATAGCAATAACAATATGTGTGATTTTTATTGCTCATATAGTCGGTTTTTCCATGACTACATCATTCGTCTTTCACACGGTTGTCGTTAAATAGTAACTTTATTAATTCCTAATAATGCATAAATTAATTTTTGTAATTTAATGCTCAAATGAAGATGTCAACACTACATCCACATGATTTTATTGAGGTGCACACAGATAAACAACAAAATTTTAATCTGAATTGGTTTATTTCTATTGATTGATCCCACCGTTTGCATAGTTGTAAGATTTTATTCATTGTATACTGGTTTGACTGCGTTCTACTATCTAGTATTGTTTAAATAAGATAGATTATTATAGAAATTATTACAGCAGATAGCCAGATTTCTATGACATGCGTGTTTGGTTATACCGTGGATACAACACGCATTCGCGAACACATCGTAGCTTAGTTATAGTTCTGTTATTAACATTCGAAATATGTCTATCAAAAGTGATACTTGGTTTGAAGTTTGAGAAGTGAGTTTATCAGCTGATTGACCACCGTTTGATCTTGTTTGTTTTTACATACATCTCCTATAGTATGCATCAACGCAATTTATGCAAATGAACTTCTACTGGCAGACTGGACTAACACCTGTCCAAACATCAAGCCTTTTTAACCGATCAATCACTTTCAGTTGGAATACAAACTTTGTTCAAATATTTGTGCCTTTTCAATGTGTTCATTTTATGTTGTGTGCAATAATAGAACATTTAGTTAATTTTCTATTATATTACTTATCCTACAATTAACCGTTTTAAATAAAGTACATATTAATCACATTTGCATTATATTCTGGCCTAATGAAGAGTGGCTTAAGTAGGAATTTAGCAGACTGTTGGTTGTTATTTAACTATTTTCTAGTGTAAGAACAGGATTTTTGTAAATTACCGCTTCAGTAATATCTCGAAGTTTAGGTTCAAGAAGTTTGTTAATTTATTTGATAATTATGCCATAGCTGGTGACCATCGAACTATGACCCTTATTTTAGTGAATGATAAATTAAATTTTCAACACATACTTGAGTCATCTGATGCAACTTGAATATAGTCAGTAGAATTTGCATACTAGTATTTCAGGAAATAAAACATAAGAATAAAATTAAAGACCTTTCTCTAGGCTAAATGCTTCCTCACACAGATTGATAAAGTAAAAGGAAGTCAACTGGATATGTTGTCTCAGATATTTCGTTACTGCATATCAATCTGTTCAGTAGCCAGGGAACTTTACTCAATTATAAATCCAGCGTTCTTCTAACTGAAAGAGGATACAACGTTATTACGAACATTGGTTTTATTTTTTATATCTCTCTACTATATCAGTTGATAACAATCTGCATTGCGCTGCAGAGGTAAATCTTCCTCAGTTTTGCATCCATCTGTGATACTAACAAGTTATTTGACTGACAACTACCATGGGCGAATTCGTTGAAAATGTACTATTTGTACTATTTTAGACGAACTAAATATGCGTCTTATTTCTGGATACCATCATAACACAAAAAACTATGAAGTGAACTCTGTGTTCCATAGTCCGGTGACTTTTAGTGAGAAAAGGCATTTCCAACTAGTTCAGCAACTTCTATGTTAAACGGATTTAGACAAGTTATTTGGAGTTATATAGTTTGAAGGTACATATATCAATAAACCTCATTATGAAATCGATAAGTTAGGAACTTTATGAAAGACCGTTTTTAAAATAGTTCTTCATAGATAAAAAGCAGTCAATCAAATAATAATTGTAGCGTACAGAATTTTCCAACTGGTGTAGATATACACAAGAAGAAATGAGTTTAAATGACTTGGATAAGTATTTATCAAAGATCACATCCATTTTAAACAAGTTGTATGATTGCTCTGCACCCTCTAACTTGGACAAACCACTAGAAATTTATTCCACCAGACTCTCGTATTTTATTTGCAACACTATTTACTAACGCTCCATAAACACTATTCAGTGCGACAAACTGCATTCTATAGTAGAACTACCGACTACAAAAAGTATTATAGCCTATATTTGCAGTTCTTCCTTCGATCTAAGCTCACTCGGTTACTCGCGAGGTGTTTAGCTTCCGTTGTATTAGCTGATGACATTGTGCATAGATACTATCCTTGTTTAACATGGTTTCTCTCCGCAACATAATATTTTCATTGCAACATTCTTCATTTGACCGATGAAACAACCTAGAGTTATTTCATGGTGAAAATACTGCCACCGTATATTGCGCCCAACATTATCTCCAGAGTTTTGCAACTACCCAATGTTGTAGGTGTTACATCTGTGCACCCTATATTGAAGCATTTATAACAAAGTGGTTCCTTCAATCAGTGTTTACAAGGAACTGACTCACTAAATAATTTAAATTTAATACCGTGTGCAATATGTTTTGCTTTATAAGCAGTTAAATTGCAAGGCTAATCTTTTGAAAATATGCTTTTATCTCTATCCAAGTAACTGATATTTATATAGCATATCTATCTGATGCATCAGGCTATCTGCCAAAAATTACTTTAATGGCAGCCACTATTGATAGAAAACCGTGATAAATTATGTTGCAAATATCAAACTAAAATGTAGTACCTAATAGATTTCTTCATGGCACAGAATAAACTATCGACAAGTTTTACAAAACCAAAACACCCGGTACATCAAAATTAAAGTAAATCGTAAAATGACTATTACAAAAGTATTTTAATTCACATCATGCACTAAATAACTTTTAGAACTCCCAGCATAGTTATACTATCAAGATACCCTCCTACTGATAATGTAACAACTTACATTCAAATCAATAATAGAAATCTAAATGAAATGGATTACATACGCTATTCGTTTTGAGATTTCAGTTGTCCAATCCACTTCACAACTCTCTATGACCACATGCTGGTAATTTAGCTGAGATTTCTCTCGGTTTTTGAATTTAGGTCTTTTCCCGTTGATATTTGAAGTTCATTTTTGCAAAAATTTTGCTAGTTCAGTAAGGAATTATTAAAAGTGTATGGTATAGTTCCTTTATAAGTCACGTTTATTGTACTAATATTGACTTGAAGCTATATTCAGAATAAGATTATAAGCCAGTCACTAATAAGTAGTAGTCTAATTTTATTCATCTTTAGGTATTGTGTTGAACGCTTGATAACTAATAATCTCCAGGTTTTGTTCATCTGTGGTTGTTTTTTATTTGGTTTGTCTATTTGATTCGCTTGAAATACAATAAGCTTCAACACTATCCACCTTTACTCCTGGTTTTAAATCATGGACCATATTTAAAGCGAATGTGTTCAAGTCATCCATGGAATTTATTTTATGCAGGATACTATCGTATTTAGGTTAGGTGTATCTACTGTGAGATTATCCAGTATGATAAGATTTATTTAATATTCCGTATTGGAACATACAATTAAATCAGCTTTCTAGATTCCTGTGGTGATGATGAACTGGATACTACGCTTTACTGAGTCGAAGGTTGAAGTGTAGATTTGTATGATTATCAATCGTTTTCCTTCTAATTCTCCCTATTATTAAAATCCAGACCTTGCAATTTTCAGAACAAACGACATGATATGACAACTGCTTTCTTCATCAACCCTAGTGTTACAAGAAATGTGCACTAACATATCCTCAGAGAATGCAAATCTCCAAATAACTCTTTAATCCACTAGAACCATGACGGTCGAGTGACCGATCCACCTTCGCTGCATGATCCCATAATCTCTCAACCATCCCAGAACTTCAGACCATTTCAGAATGAAAACACAATAAAATGAAATGAGTATCATCTATCTTCCTATGCTTCGATATTTAAAAGAGAATATAGTAGCACATTAAAAACAATTGACTGACTAATAGGTCAGTTTTTGTCTGTTTATTAATACTCATTTATTACAATAAAAATCCCATCAACAATTAAATCTTTTTTTCTGGACTTATTACATGAAAGATGCTATCGAAAATGTGATAACAGCAATACATCGCATCCCGTATAGAAACAATTAGCCGGAAGGTTTCTACGACAAAAATGTTATAAGAAAATGTATAACATTAATTCATAAGTGTCGTGTCCCGATAAGAATAATGAGTGGTAATTTTTTGGGATCTATTTGTGGACCAATACTATACTTATATTTTCATCGTATAATTGTTAAATAACTAAACTATTCGTATTCATGTCTCTCTTATCATTAGCTTTATTTCAACCTATGAACTGTTATTATACGATTTTCCATTCTTGAATTATTCCTTGTCTATTAATCACCACCTCCCACGTTCACAGCCACACTTGGCCAAATTTTGTACAAATGTTATTTTCTACTTTGTCGTACGTTGTGGTCTGCTTGTTTGGTATATAAACCGAGTATGTTTGAAATACATGATTCATATCGTAGAGGCTCGGATTGGTGTTCTGGACTTAACTGGTTGGGCTAGGTGGAAAGCAGGACCAATCAGAACTCTAGGCTGCTCGCACATGTTTTACGCGTCATTGATCCGATCGATAAGTCACTGCTCTCTAATCGGCGGTCACAAGATATAACAATAAGAAAATATTAAACTGTACTCTTACTTCCAGTAGAGATGAGGTTGATAAACTACCAACAGCTTAACTAATATGAAGGTAACTAAAGTAAACAACCTGGGAATATACACTTACTACATATTGAGAATCTAAGTATAGAACAGATTTCTAGATTCGGTCACACGTTTTTCCTATTCATACATTTATTCGATAATTTAAACACACGTACATCGACAGAACGATCTAGCAAGAACATCACTGCCTTCTTAAGCACTATACAATAAGTCTAGGTGGAACACAGAATAAATT